AGCTATGTCTGACCACCTGACACCATGGGGGGAGGCCCTGCCTCAGTGAGACCTAAAGAGACAGGGGCAGAGAGGTAGGGTAACCAACGCATCCCAGTTTGTCTGGGACATTCCTGATTTCAGCACTGAAAGACCCATCCCCAGGACCCTCCCTCAGACCTGGGAAAATGGAGAGGTGACCTGGCAAGCAAGAGTCCTGAATACATTGTTTGAACTTCTGATCCAGTTTTATTTGGAGCCCTTACCTTTGAATGTCTTAATTCTGTGACTCAGTAAGTTCTGATGTCTGTTGAATCAACACTGAGTTGCATTTCTGTCACTTGTAACTCAAAAAGTCATACCACATTCCCAAAGAATGTCCACATAAAAATAAAACTCAAAGTTTAAAAAGCAAAGTGAATCAAAGTAGGAAATATGCTATTTTTAGAATTGAAAAATGAGGAAATGTGATTCATGTGGCCACTTTTGAGGTTGAGATAATTTATTTGACAAAGGAGCTCTGAAAAAAATATACACAAAGTAGAAAAAGGAAGAGAAGCAAATGAAAACATTCTTATGGGAGAAAAACATCATGGCATGAGAAAGGTCAGACTAATGCACGAGCAAAAATTCACAAGAACAAACTTATGCGGTGAGAGAAAAAAGTGGCTGAAGCCAAACCCTGTAGCAGCTTTGCCTTTTCAGTGGAAATGGACCTTCTCTGAATGGACAGCAGGACAATTTAACCATAGGAATGAAATAAAAACTAGACTACTACAAGCTTCCGCCGATACCGAAAAACTTCACTTGAGTCAAAAATGCAGGGGAGGGGGTGAAAATGGAGACAATTGTACTTGAACAACAATTTTTTTTTAAATGACACACACCCAAAATCTAAATGGCTTTGACACTCTGCCCTGGGGCAGGTAGGCAAAAAAACATGTTAGAGCACAGATGGCAAACACAGGCCCTCCAGCTTGTTTTATCCGCCCCGGCACTTTGTTTCTATCTGGCGGCAGCTCTGAGCTCCTTGCCCCTAGTTAAGGAGCAGTCACATTTATACAGTCCTAAAATTACATTTGGCTCTTTCAAGGCCACCGCAAGGCTGAGGTGGCTCCCCGTGAAAATGAGTTTGACAGTCCCCCTATGTCTAACCTCCAGTTAGAGGAATAATCAGAAAAAGTAGAGAAAAGAGGCTTGTCTTAAGGTGACACAGTAGCAATGATCACAAAGATCTGAGAAGTTAGAAAATATAAGTGTGCACCAGAATTCGGGGTTAGGTCCTGCTAGCAGAGCTGGACGTTTTGTAATGTGAGTCAAAGAAACGTGTGCCCTTGGGAGGTTTCCTACCAGAGCGTGGCCAGGGGCTGTGAGGGGGGGGGTGTGGGCCATCTGTCTGACCACGAGCCGGAGGATGGCAGGGCAGCCACTCTGTCTGGCCTCTCCCGAAGAAGGCTGTGAGGCTTTGGCTCTCAAGGACTCTCTCTGGCCCCACCATTTCTTTTTCTAATGCACTACGGGAAAAGCCTAAGGGTTAAACACTAAGAGGGAAGTCATTTTTCTCAATAGAGAGGCAACATAAAAAAAGAGCAATGTGAAGATAAGCAATTTAGTGCTACCTCTATAAATCACCTTTTTATTGAGGCCCACCAATTTTAAACTATCTTCACTTTGTTTTCCGATATCTCACTGTGGAGTACTAATCATTTTCTTAGGCGTAGTGCTCTAGTGGGTGTTTGGAGGAACCTGATGTGCCTGTACCAGGTCTTTCTAACACAAACCCTTTAACTTGGGGTATTTAGGAAAAAAAGAAGGAAACATTGAGGAGGGAGGAACAGCACTCTCTGACTTGCACATTTGCAGAAGGGATGCTTATGCTGTATTTACTGAAGAACTTTCCCTTTAAAACATGACATTGAAAACAGAAAGAAGAGCTGATACAGTTAAAGCTTGTCTAATAATAAAGAAGCAGATTCACACAGGAAATCTTAAATCACAAGGAATGCTCAAGCATGAAAACGGACAGGAATACTGGAGCATGAGACCGAATTATACGTTGCTTCTGAAGATGAGATAGCAGCACAGGGGCTAGAGTGTCTGAGAATTTTTTTTCTTTAATCACTTATAATTTGGGAAGGCTCCACCTCCAAGCAGGACATTCTTTTGCTGTGTCCCCAAACCAGGATGCCAACCAGACTCTAAGAAAGGACGGAGGCGATGCCCCAGGAAATGTCACCTTATCCTGAACAGCTTGCCCTGCAGGATCAGACCTGAGTGCCCACTGACCTGCCTGTGCTCACCTGCCTCCTGGAAGAGATGCTCCCTTGGCAGAGCTTTCACCTCCAATTTCCTGCAGGGGAAACTGAATTCATTTGCCAGAGCTAATGGGCAATTTGTCCAGACTCCCCAGCATTTTCACTTTCTTAAAAATTCTCGATAGTCATATGCTGGGTGTTTAGGTGGTTCTGGGCATTGTGTCTTTTGGGGGGAAAAAAAGGTAGGTGCAGGAACAAAAAAGGGCCTCCCTATCTGTGCCCTAATTTTGTAGTGGAAAGATTTGAAGTTCTAAGACGTTATGTGATTTACACAGGCTCATATTGTCGCTGTGACAGGCAGAAGCCAGCGTGCCACACCAAAGACCTATAGCAAACGTGGTTCCTCTCTAGGCATCTTTCTAGGTATCATTCTTGTTTTCCCACCTTGTTTATTTGATTAGGGCTGGGAAAGGAAAACTCTGGGGCTAGGAGGGAAGTTTCTTTTTTCCTTGATTTTGGCATGTTGATTTGACATTGATAAGACTGACCATCCTTCTGCAGACTAACCACAGAAAACACTAATCAAAGCCCATGCTTTTCTTTTCTTAAAAGGCAGCAGTTCGGGCTTTTGCTAAGTTACGAAATGCCTTCATCTCAGTGTGATATCTAAGGAACCACATGGTTAGAACCAAACCGCTGTAAATCTTAATGGGAAAGTGAGAATAGAAAGGGAATAAATATTTAACCGTGAAAATCAGCTCCTAAGTACCTAACAGTCTCAAATGATATGTCAGCAAAGGAAATAACAGATAAAAGGTGAAGGGATGGTGGCTACAGGAAGAGGGAGGTCAGGAAAGGGGGATGCACGGGATGAGAGCCAGCCCTGCTCCCCCACCCGTCACCCTGGGATTCAGAGCCCAAACACAGTATTTTCCAGAGAATGCTGGTGTGTTTATCGCCCAGCAGGCCCTGCCCTGCAGCCTGAGAGCACCTACCAGAGTTTCCAACTTGGCAGCCCCCCAAGAACAAGAACAATGATTGCTTTTCTCTTGCTATAATAATGCTGTCGAGTTCATCAGAGATCCATTTTGTATTTTTCATTGAGTCCAAAGCATGCTGTTTCCTTCAGAAGAAATTCTATCGTGTTTTTGTATAGTTTTTTAAATAGTTGATCTGCTCCATTAGTAAAGGTAGAAATATTTTGATGAAAAGAATTTCTCCTAGAATCTCATTATTTATCTCAAAAAAATTTATATATATATGCATATATATATATATATAATTTTTAGGCCTACACCTATAATATTGTACATGCATCAGTCCACACATTTCACAGTTTACTGAGTCTTAGGGGGGCAGTTGTGGTGTCGTAGTATGGCCACATACTTTGCAATTCGTTAATTCTCTCATCTAATACATATTTACTGAGCATTTACTACATGTTCTAAGCATTGAGGATACAGCAGTTAACAAGATAGAAAATGGCCCGACTTCATGGAGTTAATGCAGAAGAGGTCAAAAACAAACTCATGCAAATAAGTTAATGTGGTAATTCCAGGTGGTGATAAACTCTTTGAAGGAAAACAGGGTAAAGTGATCAGCTCAGACGACATCTGGATGATAAGAAAGAGCCTGTGCCACTAGAGGGGTAGGCAGGAGAATGGCCCAGGCAAAGGCCCTGGGGGAAGAACAAGTTTGACAAATTCGAGAGAAAGAAAGAACTCCAATGAGGAATGAGAACAATAATATCTATTGTAGTAAAGATCCAGTAAGATGATAAATGCAAAAGAACATGATGAACTGAAAAGTATTCTTTGGCCACACTAGAATATTGTATTATCACATTAAAACCATCCTGCCCTGACTGGTGTGGCTCAGGTGAACATCATCCTGCAAAGCAGAAGGTCACTAGTTCAATTCCAGATCAGGGCACATGCCTGGGTGGCAGGTTTGGTCCCAGGTCAGGGCATGCGTACAAGAGGCAACCGATTGACGTTTCTCTCTCACATCACTGTTTCTCTCCCTTTCTCCCTTCCTCCCCTTTTCTGTAAGAATAAATAAAATCTTTTACAACAAACAAACAAAAAATACCACCCTACATTTAGAAAGGATTAGGATGAGAACTATATTTTTCAGTTTTCATCTTCTATTTAGGTAAAAAGAAGCAGGCTCTTTGAAAACCCCTTTCAAGTGTGGCACACTGCTATCATGTGAAACAGGGACTCTCACATACCTGGAATCCTATTGAGCGTCACCCAGAAATGTTCATCAGGACTGAAAGTGTCTTTGGACCACTGGAGCAAATCAACAGCCCGTGGGTCATGGAGAAGAAAGTTGGAAAATTCTCTTGATAGAGCAACATAGGCAGAGCCAAAGTAAATGGTGAGATTATGGGGAGGAGGTGGTTTCAGAGCTGTGGTTCTTATCACATAGGACAGCTCTTTGCCCAGGTGCTCTCGGTGGACATATTTAGTCCGGCCAATTGCGTGAGCTGGAGGCAGCACCCCAGGGGTAATGTTTTTCCCTTTAAATCCTTTCAGATACTGAACTATTTCCTTGTTGGTTTTCAGGGGGAAATCTTGCCCACAGGTGTTGATGGCATATTTCCATGGGATCTCTGAGGCCACAAGATCTTTGATGCAGTTCAGGTCAGCCTGGAGCCTGGAAATCCCACCATAGACAACTGGCTCCATCTTGGAAGCCAGAAAAGCATTTGGGAAGCAGCTCAGCAATTGCTCCACTGCATCTTTAAATTCAGCTGTCGCCTTTTCATCCACGTGAACGCAGTAGACATTCTGAGGCATGTAAATAGCTCTGAAGAGCCTTGCAAAGGTATTGAAATTGTGATGGATGACCATTATATATGCCAAAGGAAACTCAGCCTCTTCTTTGGATAAAGGGGCTGTGATATAGTGGCTCTGGGTCAGGTATTCTTTGCAAGAAGACTTCTCATATATCATTAGTTTGTTTCTCCACAGGAAAGGGGTTTTGCCTTTGAAAAAGGATGTGCAAACTTGAGTCAGCAGTAGAGTGTCTGAATTATTCAGCCTCTGGAAGCTCTGCTCTCCCCCAAAACTGAACACATAGAGCACGATAAAGATGATCACACAAGACACAGAGACTATGAAGAGGCAACGCATCGAAGACGACATGCCTCAGAGATGAGAGAGACTTCAAAGATGGTGAAAATTTGTAAGTCCTTTCCCAAACTTACTTTTTTTCTCTGAGTTCTTGTTTTGATACATACTCCAGCAATTTCTACCCTGAAAGAGACGCTGTGAATTTATTCCGTTTCATGCCGGGAATCCAGCTGCTGGCTCTGTCCCCATGCTGATATTAGCAACTGATCCCTCCTCATTCTCTCTGGCTCTCTCAAACCGCCTTTGTCTAAATCCCAGTAGCAGGTTGTTAAGCCCAGCCTCGTTCCCTCCCTCTGCCTCCCGGCTTGCATCTGCCAGCCGTTTCACAAAACTCTGGTTAGTAACTGCTCTCTCCTGCAGATTCAGTTCCTTAGATCTCTTTCATTTCCCATTCCTCCTGCCCCACCCCCACCCCTTGTTATTGCCATTCAGGGAATTAGCACAGTGAAAGCCAAAATTGAAATGATGTGTTCTGGCAGGCACGCATTTCCTGCTAGTCATCCGACAGGCTGCGGCACTCAACCCCTCGTTCAATGGCAATGATCCACACTCCCAGTATGATCCATGGGATAGAATGTAGTCCCCACTCTTAAAAATGCTGCTTTGATGGGAAAAAAAAAATGACTGAGGTGACAAGTAAAATAAACTTCATCTGTCCTGGCTCTTTCATAAAGCTTTCCTGCCCTCCCCAACTGTGTTCTAAAACAAGAGATTGCAGGAGGTCCAGTCCTAGGGGATCCTGGTCCTATGACTTTGAGATTAGGTGATAGCCCCCTCTCCTCCCACTTCCAGCATCCAGTGTGGGTCCTGTCATAGAAAGATGGGGTCAAAAAAACAAGTTTCAAGCTACACCCCCTGATTTAGATGAGTCCTTAAAGCTTCACTGCAAAAACTTGAATCTGGCCATAGTGATGTTCAGATTACGGGACCTGGAGAATGTTTAGGTTTTAACCACCCAAAGTACATCATCTAATGCTAGGGAAGTGCTTTATACCTGCCCAGTCAAGTTTTTCTACCACCTTGGAAATGAAGGTTGTTTTCGTTATTTGTAAATAATAGTGTTTTGCTTAAGGAGTGTCAAGCTCCTCCACTCAAAAGTTTCTCTAACCTTTCACTTTTCCACCAGTTATTTTTAAATACAAATTAGTATATTTTATTTAAAATGACTCTGAAACACCAGTTCAATGGCTGAATGCCTTCCTAATTTCTCCACGCTATTTATCTGAACTTTTTACTTCCCTCTACCCTACAGTCTCACAGTGGAGACTGAGCCCCACCCCACCCCACAAAGAAATAATGTTGTTTAATGTACTTTCTCTCCTTCCTTCTGAGAAGTCTCTACCCTGCTATTAAGGGAATAGAACAATACAAGTCTGCTGATTCCTTGCTTTCAGTATGGGCAGGAAGAGCAATGCTGTCCCCCAGGATGCAAGGCACTCCACAAGCCCTGAATGACACATGACTTCCTGAGCACACTGTAGTTTTTCATTCTTCTCATTTTTGTTGTTCACGTTGCTCATTCTTCCAGCCTGGACATTATTTTCCTCTCTGCCTTACTAAATTCTCCTCATGGTTTAAGACCATCAGAAATAAACTCGACACAGAATCGCCCTTTTGGATTTGTAGGCAAAGTAGAAAAACAAAACGCAGCCATCACGTGGGTGAAGCAGATCAGTTGCATTCTCAGTGTTTCTCTGGAGTAAAGCAAATAACCAAAAGTTTGTAATGTTGGAAAATTCGATCCCAAGCTTCTCTGTTTCTAAATAATACCTTTAAATATTAAGTTATTGCATATTCCGTTTCAAAACCACAGAGAGTAATTTCAGTATCTAGTTTGGGAAAGCCTGTTGACTTAGAATGGATGTTAAAATATTTGGAGATTGGCCAACTGGTCGGTATACAGATATTGTTTACATTATTATTTCCTACTGGCCAATAACACAGGAATTCAATATACAAGGCTTAGGGGACAGGCATTAATAATGTTTCTGTATTAAGCAATATAGACAACCAGCCAAATTAAGAACTTTCATGATACCTCTGTATTCAGTCCATTGTTTCAAGTGGCATTGCTTGTGTGCTGAAAATATAGCTGTTTCTTCTCTCTCCTCTTTTGGTCATCCTTGGGCAAACTTTCCCACCACCCTCAAGTTTTGTCTTTAAGAAATCCCTGTGGGAGGACTTTGAAAAAAAAAAACAACCCTCTTATTGTAATAGTGTAAGGCTGTTTACCATTCCATCCTCATAGGCATCTGGCCTGCTTATCCAGAGCAGACACCATGAATTTTTTTTCTTTTTTTGCTACCAAGACTGAACAGCTCAGCCTTCCCAACCTGCCTTTGACTGCAGGCAAGGACAAGGTTGACTCTCGTAGTCCTAGCAACCGTGCCTGTCTTTCTCTTTGTAAGCAATTATTCCCGAACAAGGCAATTATTCTGGCTAGACATATTTATTCTCCCCAGGGCCACCTTAAAAGCTTATTCTTCATTTCATTTAGAAGTCTTTACTTTTTTTACATTTTAAGAAATTTTTCCAGTTGTGATAATGCCTAGAACACAGCTCCAAAATGAAGAGGGTATCCTTTTTTTTGAAATGAGGGGAGACTCAGAGTTTCAGTGAAATAAGGAGATAATCAAAGGGGAGAAAGACTATCCTCTGACACCTTTGCACTTCCAGACTTTGCATGTGAAGGGGTATGGGGAGCACTTGCTGAGGCTGCAAGACCCAGAAAAGAAGGCGCTAAGGGGAGCTGCCCCACAAGGGCTTGCTGCTTGCCAGGCTAAGTTGGACCTCTGAGGGACATGGCAGGCGGTTGTAGAAGACCTTGCCTGTTGCACTGAAAAGCTAGAACACTTCAACCTGCTGCCAAAGGAGCACCAACCACCAAAGACTTTAGGTGGAGGGGTGATCCCAGGCAGCCTGTGGAGGAAGAACAGGAACAAAATAAGTCATGGCTCGAAAGTACACGTCAGCCCACATGTGCATACTGCACACTTTAAAGGTAATGAAAATATTAGATGTGAATAAAGCCTCTTAAACTCTGAGGTAAAGGTGCTAACTACTCCTTAATGAATAATGTGTCCTAGAAACAATTCCAAGGCTCTAAGGAGGCTTTAAGCTTGTAGATTTTCACAGGGCATCAGATCCTACATATTATTTGAGGCTTTTCTTAAATAAAGAAATGAAGATAGGGGAAGGATTTAATGTCCAGGGTCACTAAGGAATTTACATCACAATAGGGAATTAGAGGAAAGTCTTGAGTTATTTTTCCATCCCCTCCATCTTGTAATGTACGGTACCTTATTTACACTATTTTTTTTACTCATATATATGTGTTGAATGAGTAAATGCAGTCCACATCTCCCATGGTTCTGGGTGCCCATGGGTAAATGAGCTCTTAATTAGAATTGGCAACAGAGCAACTGGTATCTTTTATTTTGACAAACAAAAACTCTGACCAGACTAACCAGATAGATCAAATGATTAAAAAACAACTTTCAATCACATTTTAAGGGAAACATGAAAAATGTGTTTCTCTTGTGTGTGAAGGAAGGGCTGTCCACTAGGCCCCACAACATCACTCATAGGGCCTGGTGCACATCACTCTCCCACCTTTCACTGAGCATATGATCTTAGATCCCCACTTGCTTCTTCTTTAAATAGGATGTTCCCTATGGTCCCTTCCAGCTTAAATGAGCTATAATACAGTACGTGTGAGGCGAAGCTGCCAAGCAGTGATGGAATTCAAGTGTGACTATGACCCCTGTACTGTAGGAGATTATATCTTCTCTAGGATTTGAAACACTTACAACCGAAAATATAACCAACAAAACAGGAAAGATTATGGTTAAGTTCCATACAAGAGGTTTTCTACTAAATGCGATCGAAGTTCAGAAGATGAAAGTTCCCTTGGAGCTTGAATGGTTAGAACGGGCTTCCAGTGGTTAGATTCAACACTCAGAGCATGGAGGAGGCACTGTAGTTGGAGAAATTGTAAGAGAGAGCAAGAACACAAAACCAGGAAAACCAGTGTAGAGAACTTTCCCAGGAAGAACTGTGAATCTAGAACTTCTCTGTCATGGCAGCAGATTTTCAACTCAGTAAACCATTATCTCAAAGTACCCACCAGGGACCAGGTGAACTCCAGGAGTGTCAGGACTTTTGCCTCCTGTTCCTATGATAGCCCAGCAACTGGATGAAGGCCTGGAACACACTGCCTTCAGTACTGTTGAACAGGTCCAGAATCACCTGGGCATCTCAAAAGTACAATTTTCAACGATAAATCAAAGGAGTGTTGAAACCCATGTTTACACAATGTTTTAATTTATGTATTAGAATAGCATGGACTAGGACAGCCCTCCATGATTTTTTTCTTTAAACTGATTTCTAGTTACCCGGAGGTATGGTTTGACTGCACAAGTAGTGTTTTTCCCTCTCTTTTTTCAGCATAGGGCTGCAGAGACCTAACTATAAACACATATCAGCAGTGAACTCTATTCTCAACATCTCATGCATCTTACCTTTGTTTAATTGCATGTACTAATTCAAACTTCATTATACCTTCATAATTGTTCTGGGACTTGTTTTTCCATTCTCAATTAACTACTATTCTTCAGTTGGGAATGAAATTGAGGGGACAGAGGCTTGAGCAGAAACACTAGCTTTATAATGTTAAATAATAGCAAAAAGGGCACTTAAAGGACTGGCACTGATGAAGTTTGTTGAAGTAGCATTGACAGGGTAGGTTATATTTGCAGAAAGGTTAGGTAAATTAGATGAGATTTTATCATTCCTTGGGCTCATGGATAGCTATTCCTTGAAAGGTCATTTTCGTGTGTTTGCTTTGTTATTATAGCACGTCAAGTGACTCAGGAAATCATTCTTAATTATAAAATATGAAGATTAATTTCTTTTTCCCCTTGAACTAAGAATAATTCAGCAGAAGAAAAAGAATTGTGACAGTTCAATTCACTCTGGATAGCCAAGTGAGTAATTCTGTTCTGGGTGACCAGCTGGCTTGTAAATTGAGTCTTTTTTTTAATGATAATGATAATGATGCTAAAGAGAAGAAGAAAGGAGACACTTTCAAGAACATCTTTAACTAAGAAGACGATTCTCTCATAACTGAGAGCCTTCCAGTGCAGTTCACTGGGGAAAATCCACCTTCTCCTGGGATCCACCCATTTTACTTTCTACACCATTCATCCAATTAGCAACCAAAGAAGTTGTTGTCTAAATCATGAGTCCAAAAGCATTATTTCAAACTCTCATCTTAGAGAAGGAGAAGAAATTTAATGTACAGAATTTTAAAGGCTAAGGTGGCAGGACCAGAAGGAGGTCGCACTCCCTCATATCATGGTAGTGTGAGTTGAAGCAATCTGCATCCAATTTTGATGCAGCAAAGGTATCATGGAAACACTTCCTGAAAGCTGGAAGATGCTAAGCAAATACTTGCAAAAGACAATATACACAGATTCAAATAGGCAAATTCAAAGCACGCACTGATAGGCAGCAATTTTCTAGTAGCATAAATGTAGCAATTAGAAACATGAAAAGTCTGAAGTTTAGGGGCTTAGAAAATGAAAAGTAAATTACCCAAAATAAGTCACAGCCAATTAACATTTCAAGATGAAATTTACCACTATATTTACACATGGAAGTTAATTACTTAACCCTAGCAGAATAACTGACTCAATTATTTTACTGAAACATTTGTTTTCAAAAGTATTCAGTCAAACTAGTGGTGTCTATGGCTTGGAGTAAAGATAGTTTAGATCCACAGTTTGCAAACTTTTTTTTAACATCTCATCACCTTTCTGGTTATTAAAAATACAGGTTACAGGGCCCTGACCCAAAGAGGTCAGTAAGTTTCAGATGGAACTTAATAATTTGCTTTCCTAACAAGATATCAGGGCCAACAATTGAGAACTAATGGATCAGAGACCCAAATTCTTTATTTTTTTCTCAGTTACCACATCTGATCTATTTGGCAAAGACTAGGCAATTTACTCTGAAATACAACAAAACACATGGAGGGCTATCAGTGGGGAGGGGAAGGGAGAGAATGTGGGGGTAGGTACAGGGAATAAGAAGCATAAATGGTAGGTACAAATAGACAGTGGGAGGTTAAGAATAGTATAGGAAATGTAGAAGCCAAAGAACTTATATGTATGACCCATGGACATGAACTAAATGGGGAATGGTGGTGGGGGGCATGCAGGGGAATAAAGGGAAGAGAAAAATGGGACAACTGTAATAGCGTAATCAATAAAATATACTTAAAAACAAAACAACCAGTGTTTTAGGATAAACAATACTGTATGATTGTGGAAATGCTTATAAACATGAACTCAAATGGTGGACTATCTGATCTCTTGTAAAATTTACTATGGAAAGCAATTGGAACTCCTCTAAAAAATGAAAGGACATCAATATACAGAAAGGGGCCAGTGCTTTTATTTAAATGAGAGAAACCCTAGGTGCAAGTGGTCCTGATCCAAATGCAGTCTCTAATTTACTATACACAGCAAACACACCTTGGCATAATCCCAGTCTTTCATGAAATGTGAATAGGATTATTTACTGACAAACACTGATGTTCTGAGTGTATAGTGTACCATATGCTAAATGAGGGGTAGATGTACATGAATAAAAACAAATAAATAAATGAGAAAAAGGCAGAAAACACCAAATGTTGGTGCAGTTGGGAAACAACCTAAATGTTCATGTACTGCTGGTGGAAGTGCAAATTGGTACAATTGTGAAAAACTGGCAGTCTCTAACGAAGGCTGAGCATAGGCATATCCTGTGACCCAGAAATTCTGTTCCTAGGTGTCTATTCAACAGAAATGTGTACATGTTTATAAAAGGACATATAGCTCAGTGTTCACTTTAGCCATACTCATAACAGACCCAAACACTCATAAACAGTTATACATCAGGGTGTCTCAACCTTGGCACCACTGGCATTTGAGGTGAAATAAGCTTGTTGTGGGTGCTTTTTTTGGTGCGTTTTAGGAGATTTAGTGGAAGCTCTGGCTCAATGCCAGTAGCACCCCTTGCCAGCCCAGCCCAAGTTGTGACAAGCAAAAATGTCTGCAGATATTGCCAATGTTCCCTGGGAGGCAAACTCATCCCTCCCCACCTCACCCACCTTCTCCTAACTGCAATGATAATGAATAAATATCAACGCCTACAATAACAACAAAAAGTAAATCTCACAAACATAACATGGAGCAAAAAGTGCCAGGCAGAAAAAGAGTATAGGCTGTGTATTTCTATGTATATAAAGGACAACAGCAGGTCAACCTAAGCCAGGGGTGTCAAACTCATTTTCACCAGGGGCCACATCAGCCTCCTGGTTGTCTTCAAAGGACTGAATGTAATTTCAGGACTGTATAAATGTAAGTACTCCTTAACAGTTAAGTGAGAGCTCAGCGCTGCCACCAGGTAGAAACAAGGTGCGGGGCTCAATAAAACAAGGTGGAGGGCCGGATTTGGCCCGCGGGCCTTGTGTTTGCCACCTGTGACCTATGCTGTTTGACGTCAGTGTTGTGTCTGGGATGCTGGTTGTGTTCTATGTCTTGATGTGAGCTGCACGGGTGTGTTTGTTTATGACAATGTGTCAAGCTGAATACTAATGATAGATATTTGCATTTTTCTATGTTATACAGTGTTTCACCAAAAATGAGTGAATGACTGAGTCATGGGCCTCCTAGGAAAATTCTTGCAGGGGACTCTTGAAGGTGAGTGGGGAACAGGAATCATTCTTAAATAACTGATATTTATGGGTATTATTTATGACCAGATACTCTGCTGTACCATACACTAGAACTTACACCACCTCTTTTTTTTTAAGATTTTATTTATTTATTATTAGAGAGAGGGGAAGGGTGGGATAAAGAGAAGAAGAGAAACAACGATGTTTTAGGGACAAACATCTACCAGTTGTCTCTCATATACACCCTGATCGGGAACCGAACTGCAACCCAGGCATGTGCCCTGACTAGAAATTGAACCAGCAACCTTCTGCTTTGCAGGATGATGCCCAACCAACTGAGCCACACTGACCTGGACAGCCCACATCATCTCTTCTTTAAGCAGACTAATGGGTAAGGGTGTTTCCATTCTGGTTCCTGATGCTTGCCACCCTTAGCATGACCAAACAACCACTGCTTCCTACCAGTATGTAATGTTCAGAAGAAAAGGAGCAAAAAGAAAGCAGAACAGAGCATTAAAATTTAATTTAAAAAAAAACCCTTGTGTTCAACAACACTGAACTGAGTGCCAGCCCTTAAGGGACTTGTCATCTAGATCAGATAAGGATGGAGGGAGACACCTGCACTGAAAACAGAATGTCTATTATAACAAGGTACTGAGAAATACGAATGACAAAGCTGATAGCTGGCATTATGGACTATCACCCCCACTTGTCCAATGAGGAAATTGAGATTTGGAAGCTCATTGTTCTCCCAGGGAACCAGTCCAGGGTCACTCAGCTGGGAGGGACTGGCATGGGACTTGAATGTGCACAGCTTCATTCCAGAGCTGTTGCCACCTATCCCCTTTCAGGTAGACCGAGAAAGGTCTTGGTCCCCCCACCCAGATCCACTTCATGGAGAAATCATGAGGGATAGGAGAGCTGTGTTCACTTCCAGTAAGATCCACACATTCTTTTTTCCAACACTCCTTTTCTTTCTCTCACATTCCATCAATCAGCATGTATTGAGAAGACACCTAAGCCTGAAACACTGGGACATTTCTTTTCTTTTTCTCCCAACATATTTTTTTTATTGTTCAGAAAACCATCTGCACAAATCTTTTTCTCCTGGCCCATATTATGATTGACTTCCAAATTTCATCTCTCCAGCCAGCATTTCAGGTGATGACATTTTTGCATGATTTGACCAGTTTCAATCAGAAGGCATGATCCAGGGAATATCTGGCCCATGCAGAACTGGGTTTCAGATGGCCTGGCCTTGGAACTAATTAACCAGTAATCTCTGGAACAGAGCTCCTATGCATCATGCTTGTCTCTTTCTGCCTGCAGAGAACTATTCACCGAATTCAAAGTGCCTCCTTTGTCCTGATTTGGACTCCAGGTGCTAGATCCTGCTCTCCTGCTTCCTAGACTCCCAGCCTTCTGTAATTCTCAGAACTCCCACTCTCCAGATCACTTTTGCCAAGTTTGTTTTTATGTTTTCCTTTTGGAGAGGACTAGGTCTAAAACTATCCAGATGACTGTATTGACAGGGGTCCGATACACAGCCACAAGAATTCCATCAGAATCAGTTACCAGTTTTACAAAAACATACCACCAAAAAAGTTGAATAATTAAGCTCATTGTTTCCACTTGGCCCTTGATGTCCCTCACCCACCCCTCCCCTGGCAGGAGAGCTGACCAGTATAGAATGTGTCAGTGGGCTCTGGATCTGGTGGGTTTTTCAGTGACAGGGAGACGATCAAGGTGTTTACACCCCAGCCCCTATCTTGCCACTTAGAGCAGAATAGCTGTCTTCTTTGACTGCAGTTATTTGCAAAGGGCCCTTGTCCACAGTGCTTTTTCAAGGCCTTTCTTGACTAGCCTAATTTGAGCATGCTATCTGTTTTCTTGCTAGGGCCCTGACTGATACAATAATAAAAGATAACATTGAGCTAATCAGGTGCCAGGTATTTGGTCAACATTTCTTGTAGATTACCATTTAATGCTCACAACAACCCTGTAAAAGTAATAAGCACATTATTATTCCCATTTTATAGATAAGCAAGTAAAACTTCATTACCCAAGGTCATGAATTCAGGTAGCGTTAAAGCAGGACTTTGAGTTTATTATTTATATGCTTATCTGCCTCCTAATACAAATAGACTTATAAAGGTATCAAAATCCATTCAGAGCTCCTTATTTCTTCCCAGGGACCCAGGCTAAAGTTGATAAGAAGTAGGTCTGTATGTCCTGGATCCAGGACTTCAGCTAAGTACCATGAGAGGACTGGTTGGTCATACAGTGGTACTGAGAAAATGAGTGAATGTACTGAGGTTAATGGGAGCCAGGTTTCTCACTGCTGCAGAACAAAGTGGAGAGAATAAACCCTGTGTTGTTGGATTAGAATTAGAGGTACTGTGAAACTGTGTTTTTAATATATTTTTTAAAAATTAAAATATAGATAAGTATGCATGAGTGAGATGAAACCATGTTCAAATTGGAGTACGTGTTTGAGAATGCACCTGTGGAAGTTTTGTCCAAGGTGGTGGTGTAGGTGGAAATGCTTCATTTCCTCACACAACCAAAAGAAGGGTAACGACCAATCTAAAATCACTAAACAACCTGAAGTGCCAGAAAATCAAACTGGAATTTTAACAACCAAGGAGCTAAAAACAACGTTCACCAAGACTGGTGGTGGGCAGCTAAGTGGAAAGGATGTGGGAGGCAATTTGGACCAAGGGAGGCTGGCTGAACAGGAAACTAAAGACTTAAAGATAGCTGTAAACTATTACAAGGGTTGCCAGGGTGGGAGAAACCTCCAGTCTCAAATGAGAGAGAAAGAGCTCGATAAAAAGTGGGGCTACAGCGGAGCAAGTGAACAGAATTCTTCCATCTCTGACCTCTCCCCCACAGATAGCATCACAATGCAGCAAAGAGGGTTGTCCCACTGTGGTGAATACCTATGGCCCCCCCCCCTTACAACATGTCAGGTGCACTGAGACAAAGAAATATGGCCCAAGTGAAAGAACTAATCAAAACAACAGAAAAAGAGCTAAGTGACAAGGATTTGGCCAACCTATCTAATGCAGAGTTCAAAACAGTGATTATGAAGATGCTCATAGAACTGATTAGCTCAGTTGCAAAATGAAGAAACAAATGAAAGCTACTCAAAGTGAAATAAAGGAAAATTTACAGGGAACCAACAGTGAAGGGAAGGAAACCAGGACTCAAATCAACAATTTGGAACAAAAGGAAGGAATAAACATCCACCTGGAACAGAATGAAGAAAAAAGAATTCAGGAAAATGAGGAGAGGGTTAGGAACCTCTAAGACAACTTTAAACACTCTAACATCAGAATTATAGGGGTGCCAGAAGGAGAAGAACAAGAGCAAGATATTGAAAACTTATTTGAACAAATAATGAAGAAAAACTTTCCCAGTCCGGCAAAAGAAATAGACTTCCAGGAAGTCCAGGTAGCCCAGGAAGCCCAGAGAGTCCAAAAAAAAGTTGGACTCAAAGAGGAATACAACAAAACAAATAATAATTACGTTAGCCAATATTAAAGATAAGGAGAGAATCTTGAAAGCAGCAAGAGAAGAGGAGACAGTTACCTACAAGAAGTTCCCATAAGGCTATCAGCTTATTTTTCAAAAGAAACCTTGCAGGCAAGAAGGGCCTGGAAAGAAGTATTCCAAGTCATGAAAGGCAAGGACCTACAGCCAAGATGACTCTATCCAGCAAAGCTATCATTTAGAAGGAAAGGGCAGGGACTTCCACCAAGATGGAGGCATAGGTGGAGACGCGGTGCTTTCTCTCACAACCAAGTTTAGAGACAACTATATATTAGCAACAGAAAACACAGCCAGAACACAGAAAGTTGAACTTTTCCGAAGTCTGTTAACAAATTCTTCAGCCTGACTGGTAAGGGGCGAAACCAACAGCTGGCGGAGTGGGGTTACACAGAAAAACTCGATCAGACGGACTCAGGCGCGTGGAACCCAGGCGCAGGGTTGGACCTAGTGAGCCACGGAGTGAGCGACTGAGCAAGCGACAAAGCCAGCGACCTCGGGGAAACAGCGAGGGAGCAGGGCTGCGGGTTGACTGTGGTTGTGCATTGGTGCTCGGATAGACAAGCGAGGGAGTGGGCATTTGGACCGGGACCCAGTGGGTCCCCTCGGTGAGTGGCAGCAGAAGGCGCCGTCATTTCCTCACTCTGACCACGCCCCCACATACAGCATCACAACCCAGCGACCTGGGAGTCCAAGGTTCCACTCCTCATACTTAATGGGCGTGAAAAGACCAAAAATGGCTCAAGAAGATCTCAAAGCCCCAGAGCCTATAAATCTAAGCAATGAAGAAATAGCAAAACTCTCAGACGCACAGTTTAAAACACTGGTGATCAGGATCCTCACAGAACTGGTTGATTATAGCCACAAATTAGACGAACATATGAAGGCGAAACTAATTGAAATGAATGGAATTGCACAGGAAACCAATAGCGATGAAAAGGAAACTGGGACTCAAATCAATGGAGTGGACCAGAAGAAAGCAAATAATGGCCAAACAGAAAAGAGTGAAGAAGCAAGAATTCAAAGAAATGAGGAGAGTCTTAGGAACCTCCAGGACATCTTTAAACGCTCCAACATCTGAATGATAGGGGTACCAGAAGGGGGAAAGGCACAGCCACCAGTGGAAAACTTATTTGAACAAGTAATAAAGAAGAATTTCCCCAATCTGGCAAAGGAAATAGACTTCCAGAAAATCCAGGAAGCTCAGAGAGTCCCAAAGAACTTGGACCCAAGAAGAAACACACCAAGGCACATCATTATTACATTAGCCAAGATTCAAATGAAGGAGAGAATCCTAGAAGCAGCAAGAGATAAGGAGACAGTCACCTACAAAGGACTTCCCATCAGACTGTCAGCTGATTTCTCAAAAGGGACCTTACAGGCAAGAAGGGGCTGGAAAGAAGTATTCCAAGTCATGAAATCTAAAGACCTACAACCAAGATTGCTCTATCCAGCAAAACTTTCATTTAGAATGGAAGGACAGATCAAGTGCTTCTCAGATAAGATCAAGTTCAGGGAGTTCATCATCACCAAGCCCTTATTATATGAAATGCTAATGGGACTTATCTAAGAAAAACAAGTTAAAAAAACATGAACAGTGAAAGGACAGCAAACTCACAGTTATTAACAACCACACCTCAAACAAAAGCAAACTAAAAGGACAGCTAGATCAGGAGTGGAAACATAGAAATGAAGATCTCAAGGAGGGTTAGCAACAGGGGAGTGGGAGGAGGAGAAGGGGGGAGAAGGTACAGAAAATAAGTAGCATAGACAGTAGATAGAAAATAGATGGGGGGGCAAGAATAGTATGGGAAATATAGAATCTAAAGAACTT